TATAGGTAACAGGATTCGCGGGATCACCAAAGGCAACAGCAATGCAACAACATGGAAAATAGGGATTGTGGCAATATGGTTCCTTTCATGCACAGTTAAACATTTTACCCAACGCAGCCAAAAAGAATGGGACGGGTGAGTTTTAAGTGTACACTATTTTAACCAGGAGCTCATTGGCTACCAGTCGACAGTTTGGTAGCTGAAATGCCCACTGAAAGTTGGTAGGACCTTGTAGCCTTAATACTAAGTGGAATCCCCTCATATCAACAGAACAACTTATTTTTTTAAACTCAGGCTTGAGTTGGTGACACTTTCCATGCTGAAGGAAGTCAGCAGTGTTGATAGAAAAAAGGAGATACGTTGAAATCTTTCCTTTCTGTGGCCAGGAAGAGCATGAGTGGTCTTTCACATCATGACCTGCCAAGGACTTACCCCCAGTAGCCTCCTGAATTTCTGTTCACAGTCATTAGCTTACTGCTGCTTTGAATTATGAGAGACAAGCTGCTAATCAGGGTGTGGCTGTGATGTCTGAGAGTTAAAATGTCTTTAGTCTGCAACTGGGTCAAAGAGCATGCTATGAATCACTCCCCTATTCACATGAATCTTGTTGGAAATTAAAATCGAGTCTATGGAAATACTCCTGATTAAGTGAACAAAGTCAATTAAAAATAATGTAATGATGCGACAAAAGAATTTTAATTTTTTTCTGGATGGATGGATGGATGGCTTTCTGTATCAAATATTCCTTCTGATCATATAGCATATCAGATAACTAAATAATACCTTCTTCATTCCCTCTCATTGACTAACAATAAGAGAGCTGGAGGGCAGAACACATGCATCTTGTACTGAGCAAGATGACGCATGGAAATATTTCATCATGACAGTAAATAGTCTCCAGATGTCCATACCTAGCCTATTAATCCTCCATTTTTAAAAAAAACATAAACGGAAGAATTAACGATGCAATGTCTGAATTTATACTAAACCTGTGATCCTCCCTTTGATAATTTAATAACCCCTTGCATTCCAGGAATAAGTGCTTACTGACCTGTAGAAAGTTAAGCAAATCTTGGAAAGTGAACAAGAAAGTTGCACTTGCACATCCTGTCAAGATGTTCAAGGTATATTAATTGGAATCTGGAAGTAAGCTGTCCAAAGGCTTTCCTTCACATATAAATTCATCATTACAAAGTAGTTTTTATTCTTCTCGGGACAGAATGAGAATGGAAGTAATGATAGCGGTAGTGAATGGGAAGGAGTCAGTATTTGAAAATGGAAACCATTTACAACGTCGCCGAGCATATGGGGTTGGGAAAGAAAGGTGGAGATCAGCAGTTTACTTAAAATTAACTGAAGGAAGCAAGTCTGAGCTTATCAAGGGCAAGGATGAAAGGGGAGAGAATCCAGAGAGAGGTGTAGGTCCAGTACTAAGGAGATCCTGGTGTTGGTCTCACATCCAAATGAGGGGGTAAAGGCAGAAGAGGCAGCTCTCAATCTTGGTGACCAAGACCTCCTTGTACTTCTTGTTGAAATTAATGGTGGAAGAGTTTGTGAAAAACAATTTAATGGGATAGTCACTTTTGGACGAAAGAAGCCATGGGTTATGTTTGGTCTGCAAAATGTTGATCTCCCGACATAACGGCATAAATGTCAGATGGGGGGATCTAGAAGAAGGAAGTTCTTGGTGCTCGCTTCAGAGGATGACTACTCTGAAAAAGTTATCAAGCACCAATTCTACAAGAGTATCTCAGAAGATATTAGATGACATTAACAACTTCTGAAGCATTATAAGTATTTTTGTAGTGATGGGCGGAAATATGTATTAATCAGCCACAATAAACATTGATAATGACAGTAGGATGCATGAAAGTCCTGAATGGAGAATACAAGAGGTAAACGCAGTCAAGGATTCGTTTCGGGAGTTGGGTTAGTTTGAGAGAGATTTATGGGATCAGCATAAACCATTGGTCAGGGAAAGAGTTTTTATCGATTAAACAAAAAATGATTATTAAAAAAAAAGTGTAGTGATAACATCATAGGCAGTAATCCAGAATTCGAGACTAATGTTCTTGGCATGTGGCTTTGAATCCCTAGTGACAGATTGTGAAACATGTCTATCTGAAATGTTTCAACCTGTGGAAATTTACCTTTATGTTGAATAATCCAGAGTCCAAAGAATATGTGGTTAAAAAATCTAAGAAGAATGTCAGGTATACTGTCTAGCTGTAAGAGAGTGCACCCTAATATCTGTACCAGCTAGTCACTCTTAAAAGCTCTGAGCAACAAACTTTATTTTAGCCTTCAAAGTCTCATCTGCAAGATGAAAATCAAAAGAACTGTGGATGCTGGAAATCAGAAACAAAATCAGAAATTGCTGGAAAAGCTCGGCAGGTGTGGCAGCATCTGTGGAGCAAAATCAGACTTAATGTTTTGGGTCTGGAGACCCTTCCTCAGAACAGTTCTCCACAGATGCTGCCAGACCAGCTGAGCTTTTCCAGCAATTTCTGTTTATGTGTGTCATCTGCAAAAACTCTTTTCCGTACAAATGCATCTATGCAACAAGGTTTGTTGTTCATCACCTCTCTGGTAGTTCAGAATAAATTCGATATTCCTTATGCTTTGCTTCTATTATTATCCTGAAAGAATAGTAAATAAGAAAGCCTAATACTAGCCTTAACAGAGTACTTCTGTTAGAAAATGATCGTATACTGCTTCTTTTATTATCTACTATTAACCCTTAGCAACTACCAAAATTTCATACTGACTCCTAGTTCTGTTTGGAAACTGTTCTGCAGCTCTTGTTTATTTGTGCAATCAAATCACATCATAGCCTCTATTTGCATTTTGTTATTTTTCAGGACTACTACAATAAGATTTCTTCTTCACAAAATCAGAGTGTCTTTTGTGGGTGGCATGATGGCTCAGTGGTTAGCACTTCTGCCTCACAGCACCAGGGACCTGGGTTTGGTTCCACCCTTGGGTGACAGTGTGGAGTTTGCATATTTTCCCTGTGTCTGTGTGGGTTTCCTCCCACAATCAAAAGATGCACAGGTTAGGTGTATCAGCCATGCTAAATTGCCCATTGGTTCCAGGAATGCCTAGCTTAGGTGGATTAGCCAATGGGAAATGCAGGGTCTGAGGGAAGGGGTTGGGTCTAGTGGAATGCTCTTCAGAGGCTTGGTGTTGATGGAGTGGGCTGAATGGCCTGTCTCCATACTGTAGGGACTCTGTGATTTGTCACTGTATCATTATTATCTGACACCTACTGTTAAAGCTTGTATTAGACTTTCTTGTTCACTATTCTTTCAGCACATTCTCCTTGGTTGAGCCCCTAAGCCAGGACTTGTTAGCCATGGAAGGTGCATTTGTGACCTGGCCAAACACGTTAGTACTGTCAACTTGTACATCCTTCCGATATGCCTAGTGGCAGATTGGTGAAAGCATCAGAGAATTTCCTACTCAGTCATAATACAGAAGCCAATGACAAACCATCACAGTACTTTTCCCAGAGGTGTAGACCAACCTAATAGAAGTCCATGGCCCAATCCTCAGAAATGAGCACGGGAGAAAAAGACAGACAGATCAATGTCATAATTCCCATTAAGGAGCCTACAAACTGGTTCCACCAGCATTTTCTGACTCTTTTTATTCACAACCTCAAAGTATATTGACTACAAACTATTCTACTGCATAATATCCTGAGCAAAAATTCTTCTTTAATATTATGTTCACCTCACCCTTTACTACCAGGGTGTCCATTCATCATTGCCATTTTGCCTATCTTTTTTAAAATACTGCACACTCTAGGATATTTCCCAATCTTGGTCACCATGTAACATGTCTCTGTACTCATGATAAGATTAAAACCATTTATCTCTATTTATCAGATGGAGTTTAATTTGGATAAATGCGAGGTATTGCATTTTGGTAAAACAAACAAAGGTAAGACTTGTACAATTAAAATTAGGGCCTTGGCTAGTATTGTAGAACAGAGAGACCTACAGGTTCAGGTCCATAATTCTTTGAAGATTGCATCACATATAGATGTTAAAGAAGGCATTTAGCACGTTTGCCTTCATTGTGCACAGCTTTGACTACAGGAGTTGGGATGGTATATTGAGATTGTACAGGACGTTGGTGAGGCCTCTTCTGAAATACCGAGTCCATTTCTGGTCACCCTGTCATAGGAAGGATGTTATTACTGAAGAGAGTTCAGAAGAGATTTACCAGGATGTTGCCAGGAATGGAGGGTTTGAGTTATAAGGAGAGCCTGGATAGGCTGGGACTTCTTTCAATGGATTACACAAGGTTAAGAGGTGACCTTATAGAGGTTTATCGGTTGGGATCCTAGACAATGCTCAAGTACAGTCTTTATTTATTTCTCCATGACTTTATCTATAACTACTATTTTGACCTTTCCATCTGTTGCTGAACGTTGAATCTGGTTTCCAGATCAAGTGTAAAGTTATCAATTGTAAAACGTGGGGAGTTCGTCTCATATTTTTAGATTCATGTCAACTATCTTATGAAAATTATGTGCCAGGAAGGCTTGCAATAGGACATGATAGTGTCTACCAACACATATGAACATCATATACTCATCAACCACACATGCAGGATTTTTAATCTTTGACAAGAGGGTGAGCAAACTGTGCTATTTAAGACAATTCACTTTTCTTTCTGATCCTTATCACATGCTGCCATTAATAACTCTCCAACATTTTAATTATAAATCTTTGTTAAGGAAATATAGTAATGTCTTTACTGGGTAAACTGCAGGTTTAGCCTTTCCAAAAACAATCACTTTATCATGCTCTGTGTCTCGTTTCCTTTGTGCTTTTTTTCCATCGGAGGCTTTTTTAAACAGCAAAGTTATCTCACTGGAGATTACATCAGCAATAACAAAATAGCTTACTCAGCTACTTTGCATGAATCATCACTCTCTTCTTATTTTAATGTATTATATCACTGAAGTAAAAACACGAAAAGCAACATACCACAGATGGAGATCTGAAACAAAAACAAAAAAAATCTGAAAACACTCAGCAGTTTATGGCAGCTGAAGGTCATGGACCTGAAAGGTTAACTCTTTTCCTTGCTACAAAATTTTCCTATTCCTTGCCCTTACGTCAACATCACTGGTGAGTCTTTATGATTCCACCGTAATGATGTCCGTGTCCAATATCTGATCTTGAAATGTTGCAATCATTGCCTCCTCCAGTTTTTGCAACATCACGTAAATGTCCCATCTGTCCTATTGAAGCTCTGGAAATTACTGCTTCTAAAGGACATTTTCATGGCAGCAGATATCTCAACCAAGAATTAAATCACCATCTGGAGTCCATCAGGAGTCTGTCTATATGCAAAACCTTAGCACAATCCAGGAATTTAAATGCTGACTCGAACAAGGAATCTCCAAATTTAATTTCTTCCATCTTTTATAGTTAAAGTCCATGGTGTATTCCTCTATAGAATGAATGACCGACATTCAACATCTTACCAAAATCTGACCATACTTCATAGGCATCCAATTCATCATGTTTGTGTTAAATTTCAACCATGGAATTTAATGGAAATTCTAAGCTTTCATAAGTATCGAACAAACATGCATTCAGCTCACAAAATACTTGCTTCTGGTTTTACTTCTGTTCTCAATTTACAATGCCAAGACCATAGTTTGTTCTCTCCTTGGTAAAGGACACAGCCTCTGTTCACATATCTTAATTCTTCCCAAGGTCGTAAGGCTCAGATTCTGAGAATATCAGTCAGTAATCCTACTCTGACAATTTACGCTTGCCTTCAGCCATTCTTATCAAAAATACTCAATTGTAACTTTCTATCAAAAAAAACTTAATTTCAAAGCTACACCTTTAGTACGCTATTCTCGACTATTGTGGTTAGCTCCTGAAAGCCAGTCACTAAAGTAGAATTTTGCTCTGGATGAGACAAATTATCTGCAGGGAAAACTTTGTTTTTATTTTGTACTGGATACAACGATGTCCGTGCTGCTTTACCCAGGCTGGAAGCCAACAACCCTCTTAATGGTGCTGCAAGTTCTGTAGCTGTATAACACAAGAGATTTTCCATCTCTACTCTAACCTGACTGTTGCTGCCAGATACCTTTAACATGCCTCAGTAGATTGCCCACTAAAGTTATAATTCAGTCAGGGAAATCTAAATTAGGCTGATCTGGGAATTCACTAGGTTCAACTCTTGTTATTCTACGGTGGATAGAATTCCTGCTACATATACGGTGTCACAGTGGCGTAGAAAAAAAGAAACCCAGCTCCAGCTCTGATCTGTTTAACACAACAGTTGCGAAGTTTAGTAATTCTGTTGAAAATTCTACTTACATATTTCCCTCACCAATACAATGAGGTAAAAGGTTTATTCAAAATTCTAACTCTCATCAACCAGCTCAACAAAGCAGTTAGCGAGATACCAGGCTAGCTCCGAAATTCTTTCCTGTTCAGTTTACAAGTGTCACCAGCATCAACTAAGGTGTCAAGTGACAAGGGCATTGCATTGACTCATTTTCCAGTTAGTTGCTTCTCACTCCATGATTCAAGTATATTAATAAAACTGGAAAATCAACCTCAAACTCAAAATTCATTAACAATTGAAAGATTTTACAACTTCAGGCAATGCACACAGAAACATTTGGCAAGTATAAAAAAAACTCTTCTTAATTGTAATGAAAGAACTCTATGTGAAACTCTTTAATTCAGAAATAGGATTTATTCTCAAGTGGACAGTCATGTGTAATTAATGTGACACATTAGAGAAAACAATCACAGCTGTTTTAAAAGCTCACTGCTCCTACAATCACTCATCTATTTTTAATCCAGTTCTAATTTATTGCCAGTCTTACTTCCAGGATTTGTATTATTTGAATGCACTGGGACAAGCATCAAGATACATGAAACAACATCAAAGCACTAAATATGCAGCATTGAGTCATAGAGATATACAGCATGGAAACAGACCCTTCAGTCCAACAGTCCCCTGCCAACCAGATATTCTAAATTAATCTAGTCCTATGCGTCAGCATTTGGCCCATATCCCTCTAAACCCTTCCTATTCATATACCCATTCAGATGTCTTTTAAATGTTGTAATTGTACTAGTCTCCACCACTTCACCTGGTAGCTCATTCCATACATGCACCACATGTGAAAAAGCTATCCCTTAGGTCCCTTTTAAATCTCCACCCCACCCCCACCAACCCCCCCACCCCCCCACCCCTCCACCTTATACCAATGCCTTCTAGTTTTGGCCTTCCACACCCTGGGGAAAAGACCTTGGCTATTTACCCTATCCATGTCCCTCTTGATTTTAAAAAATTTTATAAGGTTGCCCCTTAAACCCCAAGCTCCAGCCTATTCAGCCTCTCCCTGTAGCTCAAACCCTCCAACCCTGACAACATCCTTATAAATCTTTTCTGAGCCCTTTCAAATTTCACAATATCTTTCCCATAGCAGGGAGACCAGTACTGAATGCAGGATTCCAAAAGTGGCCTAACCAATGTCCTGTATGGCTACAACATCACCTCCCAACTCCTTTATTCAATGCACTGAGCAACAAAGGTAAACATATCAAATGCCATCTTCACTATCCTGTTTACCTGCGACTCCACTTTCAAGGAAATATGAACCTGCACTCCAAGGTCTCTTTGTTCGGCAACGCTCCCCAGGACCTTACCATGAAGTGTATAAGTCCTGCCCTGATATGCCTTTCCAAAATGCAGCACCTCACATTTATCTAAATTAAACTCCATCTGCCACTCCTCGGCTGTTAGCCCATTTGATCAAGATCCCATTGTACTCTAAGGTAACCTTCCTGGCTGTCCACTACACCTCCAATTTTGGTGTCACCTGCAAACTTACCAATTATTTCTCCTATATTCACATCCAAATCATTTATATAAATGACAAAAAGCAGAATACCTAGCACCAATCCACCATCATCCTCTGTCTCCCACCTTCATGCCAATTATGCATCCAAATGGCTATTTCTCCGTGTATTTCATGTGATCTAACCTTGTAAACCAGTCTATCATACAAAACCTTGTTGAATGCTTTACTGAAGCCCATATAACCACATATGTGAGCAATCTAATACTTAAAGTATGCTCAGAGTATTGAATCATGCAATTTTTATTGTATTTTCTCCATGGAGTCTTTACTCTAATGTAAGGGATTCCAAACCTAGAGGACATAGATTCAAGGTGATAGGGGAACAATTTAAAAGGGACCTGAGAGGCAACTTTTTCACTGACGGTGGTACATGTATGGAACGAGCAGCCGGAGGAAGTGGTAGAGGCAGGTACAATTGCAACATTTAAAAGACATTTGGACAGGTATATGAACAGGAAAGGTTTAGAGAGATACAGGCCAAAGGCAGGCAAATGGGACTAGTTCAGTTTAGGATATCTGGTCGACATGGACAAGTTGATCTGAAGAGTCTATTTCTGTGTATGACTCTACGATTCTATTAATTTCCTCCTTACTTAATTTATTTGCATCAATTCCGGTTTCTCCCTCTTCTTTCATCTCTATTCCCTATTTGCAGTTCTGTTTCTCTTCTTCTTAACCTTAATTGCTGTCTCAAAAATGTCTACTTATTTGACTGTCTCACATTGCCTCTTTATTTCTTAAGGTAGGTGTTTTCACCCCACCCTATCTGCTTCCATTGCTTTCTTATTTCATTTAACACTCCTCTACTTCTGTTACTTTCTTTTACTTTTGTCATTTAAATGTTTATTCTTTGCTTTTCAAGGAACTTCATTTTTTCACATTTTTCTACTCTTCATTTCAATCCTCTTACTCTTGCTTTTAAACTTTCCATTCATGTTTATTTCTACTTTTAGCCCCTATTTTCTGCCCTTTGACGCAGCTACATGAGAAACCTAGTGTGAAAAGTGTGTCTTAGGTGACTGTGCAGAGTTTGCAAGTTCTCCCCATGTCTGCATTGGTTCCTTCTGGGTGCTCTGGTTTCCTCCCATCGTTCGGAGATGTTCAGGTTAGGTGGATTGGCCATGCTAAAAAAATTGCATGCGGTGTCCAAAGTTATGCAGTATTGGTGGGTTAGCCATGGTAAAAACCCCACGTGGGGTTGTGGGGATGGGGTGGGAGTGGCATGCTGTTCAGAGGGTTGTGTAGACTCAATGGGCCGAATGGTCTCTTTTTTCATTGCAGGGATTCTGTAGTCTATAGAAATCATGTTGACAGTGTAACTATTCATATATTGGAACAAATGTACTTAATTTTGTACATTGGTAAAAGCATTGAAAAATGCTTGAACAAAAAGTAGTATTGTTTTAGACTAAAGTAAAATTGAAATAATTTCATCAGTTCCTTTTCATAATTATCATGTACACTAACCAATAAAAGTTTTACAGCTCCTTGGGGTTGCTTGTTTGAAATCAAGCCCTGTTTGCAAAGTCGTCACAAAATAAAAGATTTTGAAAAGTACACAAAATTCCCAGATTTACCTGTCTTTCAGAATGAGTTGACAGAAAGCACAGATCAGGTTTATAGTCCTAGTAAGAATTGCTATTTATTGCAAATAATTAGATTCTACCCCTCACGCAAACAGGAAAACAGACATTGGTCATACGGACGGGGGAAAACTGGGAGAACAGTTGAGTGGTCTCTGTTCACCAAATCTGCTGAAATGATTCTCATGTTGATCGGAATGCTGGTTTTCAGTCTTCCCTTTTTAGATGTTTCCACTGGTTTGCAAGGGACACAGGGCACCTGATTAATTTATGACAGATGTTTATTTTGTTAATTATAAGTCACAGTTTAATAACAACTGCTGGACAAAAACTAGTTTGCTTCAGGCTTAAAGTGATTTTTACTGCAGAGAACAGAGAGACTTTCTAAGCTGATGGAGGTCTGAAGATTCCTTTTGAATCTTGTTCACAGCCCCATGTTGAGAACCAGCCATATAGTTGTTGGCAGGCAGATGGCCTTTGTCATTGGTAACTGGTCACTGGTCGTCAAACCTTGGGGCAACACAGTGGCTCAGTGGTTAGCACAGCTGCCTCACACAGCCAGGGACCTGGTTCAATTCCAGCCTCGAGCAACTGTCTCTATGGAGTTTGCACATTCCCCCTGTGTCTGTGTGGGTTTCCTTTGGGTGCTCTGGTTTCCTCCTACAGTCCAAAGATGTGCAAGTTAGGTGGATTAGCCATGGGAAAATCAGGGTTAGGGGTAGGTCTGGGTGGATGCTCTTCAGAGGGTCGGTGTGGACTCAATGAGTTGAATGGCCTGCTTCCACACTGTGGGGATTCTATGATTCTAAACCAATCAGCCGCTTGCTTCCAAACAAAGCTCCATATGTAGAAAACCCCTCTGCACCAGTTTGTCTGCAGCCTGTTTCACAGCTGTTTAAACAAGTACAATATATAAACGGTGCTTATTATGTTTGGGACATTACGTGCTTTCAAAATATGCAGCAATCACACAGCAATCTTTCATTTTAAAACAGTTCTTTTATCATGTCAGTCACAACTAAAAATACAGAAAATAACAAAAGGCATGTCTTTACAAAAAAACCCTCTGCTTTAACACATTTACTATTGAGATCTTACTATAAAGTAATGAATTGAATGGATGGACCTATAACTCATTGACTATCCAATATCATTCCAATCCATGAGGTGCAGCCTAAACAATGTAATGTTCATCATCACCTCCTGGTCAGAAATATGACGGAGCTGACCATTTTCCCATTATAAATCCAATTTAATTTTCAACCCATTGATTTCAACCTGGTCAAATTACGCCAAATTATACAGAAATGGCAACCATGTGACTCAACTACCTCTAGGCAATAAAAGCAAAAAACAATCTTTGAACAGCCAGCCTTCCTTCACAGTCAAGAAGATGCAACTACACCTCATAAAACATAGCCAATGCTGATCTCATCTATACCCTCATTTAAGAAGAATTCTCATTGGCTTTATCTTGTTCAAAATCAATCTAAGAAGGAAATAAACATTTTTACCTACTGATTACACAATTTCTACTTACCACCACAAAGGAATATAGAAAAAACTAGGGGCAGACAGGACCAAAAGCAATGCCCACCAGCTTCGTATGAAGTATGCAGCCAAAGGAAGAAGCATATAGCCAAATGCAAAAGAAATGCCGATTCCCAGTGTACAGTACATAACCCGAACAGATTTTCCAAGCACTTCCGATCCTGTAAATGAATAAACAGGTCAAGATCAACATTGATATTGTGTCATTTCTTAATTTTGTCTCAATGCCTATTTTGGCCACATTAAAATAAAGTTATTTTTTCTGGTATTCAGTCTTTTTTAAGAAAAATGCTCCTGAAGCCTAATCTGTTAACGTAAGCCGAAAGAAGGATCCCAGATGCAGAACTGCCACGTCCATCTTATGTGCCTCCCTGAATCCAGTGATTGAGCAACATAAACCGAAGTAAGGAAGCAATGGAATGTAGCACATGACAGAAAGATGTGGGAAAATGGAATACATATGAAAAGCAATTAAAAATAAAGTTTCATGAAGAAATGTCCAGCAGATAATGAGACTAGAGATTTTTACAGTCTCTGGAAACAAAATCACAAGAGCAGTCAGAGATTACAATAGACCACCAGGTTCAGCCCACAATGTTTTACTGCACTGGTATTATACATGTCTTATTCTCTACATTTTCAACGATCTCATTATTTTTGATTTGTTTAGACCAGTGGACAGACATTATAATCACGGGTCTGAACTTCAGCAAAGAAGCTTTACTTGATTTTCTTTAAAGATACTTCCAATGATTATTTAGTTGTGTTCTCTGAGTTGAATTGAATTTTAAGTCAACATCCAGTTGGTGTTATCTATTATTGTCTCATATATTACATTCCTGTACTTTAGAAAATCCCCCCATAACAGCCTTTCTCCAGCTCTAAACCAAAAGTTTCCTAACCTTTGCTCACAGTTCATCTTCTTTATTCTAGGAATTAGTTTCATCTACCTTCTCATACCATTTCCAAAAATTTAAACTAAATCAAAAGAGCGCAGATGTTGAGAGTCTGAAACAAAACAGAAAATGCTTGGAAAAATGCAGCAGATAAAACAACATCTGTGGAGAGAGGAACAGAGTTAATGCGTTGGATTTTCGTGAATTCAAAGCGAGTCCAAGAAACTGTGAAAACAGCAAAGAGGAGCTGATTCCGGGATTCTGAAATCCATTCCCATGGTTTTCTAACTTTCCTCTTTATATTTGAGGGTGCATTTAAGGCATCATGAACCTTTACTCTACACATTCGACTTGACTTGCTTTATTGCTACAATAGGTATATTCTACTATTTCACAATTTTCATGGAGTCAGGGCAACTTTTGAAGAATTTGTGGTTTATGGCATTTCAGATGTGTCATGAACCATAGTCTGGATGAGGGAGTTTATGGAAGGTAAATTCAAAAGGTCTTATACATGGCCTCTCAAAGGGACTTGAAATGCATAATAAAGCTTGGTTGAGAGCTCAGGCAATCATTGGATTATTGAAACAGTATCCATAAGAAATTAACATTGCAAAAGCTTGCAGGTTCTGGTTTTAAAAATACCAAGGGCCTGAATGATTCACTTTTTTTTCAGCTGCAGTAAAAGCAACTTTTATATATAAATGTGAGATTATCCATTTTGGAAACATAAATAGGAATGCAGATTATTATTTGAATGGCTGTAAATTGAGAGAGGAAATGTTCAAGGAGTCCTGAGTGTCCTTGTGCACGAGTCACTGAAAATAAGGGTGCAGGTGCTGCAGGCAGCAAAGAAGGCAAACTGTATGTTGGTCTTCATGGTGAGAGGATTTGAGTACAAGAACAAGGACATCTTGCTGCAATTATACAGGGCATTGGCGAGATCACACCTGGAATATTGAGGGTAATTTTGGTCCCTTATCTGAGGAAGGATGTTTTTGCTATAGAGGGAATAGAGCAAAAATTCACCAAATGGATTTTTGGGATTGGCAGGACTGATGTATAAAGAGAGATTGAGTTGGTTAGGATTGTATACACTGGCATTTAGAAGAATGAGGGGGGATCACTTGAATTCTCTAAAATTCCAACAGTAGAAGTAAACCTTTTAGGACAGAGACGAGGAGAAATTCCGTCACCCAGAAAGTGGTCAGCCTGTGGAATTCACTACCACAGAAAGTGGTTGAGGCCAAAACATGTTGTATTTTCAAGAAGGAGTTAGATATAGCTCTTGTAGCTGAAGGGATCAAAAGATATGGGGGTGGGGGGAATGGGTATTGAAGTTGATGATCAGCCACGATCATATTGAATAGAAGAGCAGCTTCAGGAGTTGAATAGATTATTCCTGCTCCTTCCTTCCATGTTTCTATGAATGAAACTTTTTCCAAAAGTTTTGCTAACATATCCTATTGTCACTGTAGATTGATTCTATGCAAAGCCAAGTTGGATGAATGGATGTGAAATGGTATGGATGAGGCAAGTGGAATAAGTGGTGGGATGGAGTGAGGACTGGACAACCTTAAGTTTTCATTACAACTGGGATGAAGTCCCAAAGCACTGAGATGGGCCTTTCAAATAGCCACTGTGGCTGCTCCTGAAAGGGTTCTTAGGGCAGATGACTTCACTCCTCTCAGCACTTGACCACTCCACAACAAAAATCCTGGCTTTGCAGGCATTTCAACTTGAGACAGGCACACCAAATTCAGACATTTGATTCGTGGTACCTGCACTGAAGTTGACAATCTAGCCCATTCCAGATCAGATAGAAGCAGGGATGTTGTTTCCACTGGCAGGTGAAACTAGAACAAGAGGGCATAGCCTCAAAATTAGGGATAGTAAAAACTGCCAATTCTGGAGTCAGAGATAACACAGTGTGGAGCTGGAGGAACACAGCATGCCAGGCAGCATCAGAGGAACAGGAAAGTTGATGTTTCGGGTCGGGATTTTCCTATAACGCGATTTTCTATACTGCAATTTTCTGTAGCGTGACTTCACACAAGAATGCAACTATCGCGTTATAGGAGAACCACACGTACTCCCTTTCTGAGTCTTCTTCTTAACAAGTTCTAACCATTTTGCATTTACATTATTTACATCTAAGTGAAATACAAGCAATTCAGATCTGATAAATCACAGTAGATTTTGGATCTTGTTGTCATAATCCCAGCTAATGTTATTACTGCACATGCCATATCCAAGCTGAGGTCTGGCTCGATATTTTGTTTGGTTTTTATTTACTAAGGTGGTCTTTAACTGAAACACAAATATGCAATACAGCATATTTAGTTTTAACAATAGAACATAAGTTCATTTAGCAAAAGAAATGAAGATTAAATGGAATACCCAAGCCATTTTCATGTAACATAATTTGAAAGATTTCAAAACACAACAAAAGTACAATCCCATCTATTCCAACACTGTCACGTTACAGTACCCATATCTGACAGAGTTCCCTTCACTGTCACACCTGTGTGGTTAACTTAACTGATTCCTTCAATTCCTGTCTAGAGTGTTTGAGAGCCTCTTCTTTGATTACATACACATCTCAAGTTAGGCTTTTTCAGCTTCAAATAGCCCCTTTGGGGTTCCAAGCAAAGAGTTCTGCTCTCAAATTTCAAACTAAAACACTTACATAGAGATAACCTATTTTTGAATTGTTCATAACTATCTCCTTTCTTTCGAAGAAACTATCTTTTTATATCTAACTTCAATCAGGATTTCTGTTAAACCCCACTGAACACTTTCTAAACTATGGGTTTTCACTGAGGCAAAAAACAACAATTCCTGATTCTCACAAACTGAAATCAAGTTTATACTTGCTAATGTTTACTCTGTTTGATCATAAATCTTTCACAATACAAATAAATTCCATTTATCACTTCAGAAACTCTTTCTCACATCCCTGGTTTAGAAAAAAAATGGCTCCAGATACACTAACAAGATAGTCTCCACATATACATTGTCTAAACCCACATGCCATTGTTCAAAAACCAAACTCCTAAGTAAATGATTTTAATTCATGTATAAGTCACAAATCTTACATCACATTAATGTATATGACATTGAAATCCTTGCATTGCAAGAGAGGTAAATGAAAGATCTGTGCCGGTATGCACATCACGAATTTAGTATTGAATTTAATTCATATCTATTTATTAAGAACAAGTATGTTCTAGTAAGGTGACTGCAATAGATTTTAGAAGTCCCTAGTTTCCCACGTCACCCAATCTACGCATAACAGCATGTCAGAATTTAAATAGCTAAACATGAGATTGGGTTCTAATGATACTGTCCAAACTTTTCTCAACAGAAAACTAATCAATACCAGAGAACAGCATACATGCCCTACTGGAAACAGGAAAAAAAAAACAAAAGAAAATTTTAAGATGCAAATTAGCCTTGACTCTGCTACAGAACAGGTAATGTGTCACTTTGCTATTCAGGCTAGTGTCGATGAAACAGATATTTGTGAAGCATCCTTGCAGATCCAATATCTCCACCCTAGACACTCATGATGTGATTTATGCTTTGGGACACCTTTGTGAACCAGTGTGGGTGGATGATGATGCTCATTGTACTGAAGAATCAAATGTATTTAACAGTTAATATGGCTCCGCCACAAAGTATATTTCTTCGCTGAAAGATAAATTCATGACATTAGAACAGCATTTAAAAGAATAATCTATATCAAGCTATGTTAATGAGTGCTTATGCATCAATTAGGAGCAATTGGAGATTCACTAGGTGCCTTAGGAAGGCAACAGAACAATAAAATCATGCATTTTGCAAAGCAAAATACTTACAGAAAATAAATAAATGATCATCTCACAAAAGCATGAATGACCTAACATCCCGATACTTGGACTATAACTGCAATGATTTTCTCACAGCAAAAGAATGCCAGGAATGTGCTGCTCAGCAGAGTGGACATTATTTATTTTAGGGGGTTTCATAGCAGTGATGGTGAATGTCTGAAACATTTAGTGATTTATTGTTAAATTATTGTGGGTTGTGTTTAATTTTCAGTTGTGGAATTTAGTTCAGGAACAATGACAACATCCACCAGTCCTTCAAAGTATTGTGCCATTAGGGATTTATGAGAGTAGTTAGAGAGGAATAGAAGCAGCATCATTCAGCTCCTCTGATCTGTGTTGATATGGAATGTGTAATCTGTAACCTAACCATTCACACCCTTGGTTCCATATCCCCTACATCTGGGCTGGCAAGGATCTGTTGAGCTCTATTTTATAAAATGTTATTTGATTGAGCTTCTACTGCTTTTACTGGGAGCAGGTTCCCCATTTCTAATACACTTATTATTACAAAGACAGTGGTTCGTATGTGGAATGAATTGCCAGGGGGAGTGGTGGTTACAGGTATAGTTACAACATTTAAAAGACATTTGGATAAGTACATGAATGGGAAAGGTTTGCAGGGATATGGGCCAAAAGCAGGCAAGTGGGACTAGTTGGTTTGGGAACACGGTCGATGTGGACCAGTCGGACCAAAGGGTCTGAATCCTTCTTGTATGACTCTATGACTCCAAAACCTCTCTAGCCTGCATTGCCATTCAATGAGAACATACCTAATATGACTGCGGCCTTAACCCCACATTCACACTTGCCCCTGATGCAGTTTATGTTGTCACACTACATTTTTATGAGCTATGGTCCAAATTTTACTTTTTCCCCTCCAAGTCAGTAATCCTCTGATTCATGTTTCCAGTTGGAATATTCTTGCATTGTGATATGTTTCAGAATTTTATGACCATTTTTCTACAGAAAAGGACTGGAACGAAATGTGACCTCCAAATTCCATGGGTGTCCAGACCGACTTAGTGCCATACTGAGAGTGACAGAATCATTGAAAACCTTAAGAAGATGGCAGATAAAAATATTCAATTTTACAGATATTTACCAAGAACAAAAGCGGCCACATAGTTGGAAATCTGTCCAAGGCCCACAAGGAAATTCAGAACGCAGAATATTTCCCAGTTTGGAGAGAATGCTTGAATCATGCTGAATCCAGTCTGTACAGCCATAGTTCCAAAGAGAATTACCTTCCTCCCAAACCTAAAAAACAGAATGAAATAAACTTTTAACTATATTTACTTACCAGGATACATATAAACAACTACATGTTTATGCATGTTTTTTACATGCTAAATCATGCACACGTTTATACATATACGTGTGGTGTACAAGTTAAATCCACGTTTTCTCAGTCATACAGCAAGGTCACATATAAACATAGACATAAGCATTTACCATTTGATTTATATTTTATTTGGACTGAAAATCCATGATACTGCAGGCACACACCTACCGTAAGCATGTGAGGGGGTACCAGAAGGATTAGACATTAAGATGGGACCCAAAAATGTAAAATCCCAATTTTATCCTTGGGTTTTTATGATGTTCTGTTAGGGGTGTAACGTTAGCATGCTCCCAAATAAAGCTACGATTTTACTAAAACTATCTGACAAACAGTGGATTTAGGATCCCACATGTCTCTTGAGATTTGTTCAGGAGCAGGGAGTTGACTGACTTGCTTGAAGAAAACAATTTCCATTTTTATTGTTAAATATACTGTAGGGACTGCATGATCAATTGGAAAGTCTTTCCTTGGATCAGTGGTGAAAATGGCTGAAGTCATAGATCCGATGACAGAATCCCCACAGTGTGGAAACAGGCCATTTGGCCCAACAAGTCCACACCGACCTGTGGAAGAGCATCCCACCCAGATGCATTTCCCCTACCTTATCCCTATAACCCTGCATTTCCCATGGCTAATGCACCCAACCTACACATCCTTGAACACTATGGGCATTTCCTGCAGAGCACCCAGCAGAAACACACGCAGATATGAGGAGAACATGCACAATCCAAAGAGACAGTCACCTGAAGCTGGAATCGAACCCGGGTCCCTGGCACTATGAGGCAGCAGTGCTAGCCATCGTGCCACTCCACTAAGTAATAGCCAATTTAAAAAAGGACAAAAACGCTCATCTTTTCAACAAAAGAAATGAGTTTAGCGCTGAATACAGCAGTCTTGAAGAACTGGAGCTGAAACTGACAAACAACAGGAAAACAGAAAAGACGAAGGCTCAACAGCAACTTGCAAAAATACATCACAATGTGAAGGGATTCCAGAGTCAGTTTATGGATGTTAAGCCCACTCCAGAATTGGTAGAAAAGTCAAAAGAAATCGTCGAAGAAGTTGAAAACGCAATCAGTATCTCTAAAGAGAAACAAAGGCAGATTTATGAAGAACTTCTGAACGAAGAAAAAACTACTACTCAGGAAATCTCAGCTGTGGCAAAAAAAGGAAGTGTGGGCCCAGATTCCAACTGAAGCAGTGATACCCAAGTCCATTGTAGCAAAAGGAATATCAACTAACTCTAGTTCAGTCAAAAAGAACGGAACATTTTTTGTGACAAGGATTCACGGAATTAAATTTTATGACTGACAGTAATGATTGCTTCTCAACCATTTGAGATAACTAGAATTATTAGACTTCAAGTGATTTAGGTTTCCCTTTGTTTATTACTGACGAGACTATAGACCAACACATTTGTACAAAATCACCAAAGTAACCTCAGTATTTCAGTATTCAGTGCAGTTAGTGCATGCAATATAGGATGAAGTTGGTATGAACAACAGAATGTGGCTTTGCTTGATTATATACATGCAAATGAAGCACAAGGCTGACACTGTTCCACAAACTCTTTCCAATGTGACTCCATTTTAACTCATCATTGGGATGAAATAACTGCACAGAGGCCAGTATCCTGTCACCAAGTCACTCTTTATTTACACGTACGCAATACATGGATTTTGACCAGCCTGCTCAAAGCTGGTCCCTAGAGTGAGGAGACTGCCTGAATCTCCTCTTTATATCTGTCAGCCAGGGCTCCCCAATTGGTCCAGGCTAACAACCCTAATCAGGGATCCCATAGTCAATTAGATCCACTTAATCCTTGTTTCAAATATTACATGAGAGAAAGTGCGGAATACATTAGTTCCAAGAGGTGTTTTGATCCAAATGTTGTTTTGGCAAATGTAGATTCTCCGATCACGATCAAATTGCTAATTGCGTACACTTGCTGTGCACAAATTGGCTGCCATGATTCCTACATCACATTTGTGACTATATTTGTAAGTACTTCATTGGCTGTATTGCAACATCCAATGCTGGTGTAAAAGCAGCATGCAAATATTAGTCTTTACTTTTGTGAAACTTAAATACTGATTCAAAAAGTCTCATAAATTATATGTTTAAGAATGTTAAACTAAGATCTCCATTTTCTTATCCATCCCCCAAAATATCAGCCATTACATATAGCGCTGTTTTCTTCTGGACGTCATTTTCTAAAAAACAAATTCTTAAAAGAACAAAGGAATATAAACTGAGGTTTGCTGTAGATTGATTTCCTTTATGAGAATCAGTTTCTCAACAATTGTTAAGTAACTCCTCTTGTTTAAGATCCATGGATGTTATTCAGCTCAAAATGAATGATCATGGTTTAACATGATTGAAATTCTTACAGCTGAATTCAGTTAATTATTTTGTGAATATTTATTTTTTCAATAATTGGTATTGAATATATGCAATTTCCTTCTGTCTGTTCTATTCCTAAACATTCTGCATCACAGTTGCAGGTTTTTTTTAGGGAGTATTCACCTACTCTTTGGTGTCTGTTTAGTTGTGTTGCATGCTTGTTTCCTTGTACGGTATGTTCACTTTATGTCGTACCTTCATTAACATAATTACAGGTTAAAAATGTTTACTTTGTGTTATTGCTTTTATTTGGTTTTGTGAAGACTGATTAAAAATCCCTATGGGTTGATTTATTTCAGCCCCTGAATGGCATGGGCACCAGTGAGTCAGTTGTGAAAATGTGGCAAGATCAGAAAAATGAGATTCATAGCATTGAGAAAATAAAATCCAATTTTAAACCAGAGGTTTGAACAGCGAGATGAGAATGTCACTAATGAGCGGAGAGAGATATGTTTGTGTGCATTTACACCGCATTGTTACCTACTCTCTCATGTAGCACGTGACAATTTTCAACACGATTCCTCCCACCTCCTTGTCTGTAGAGGTTAGCATCAGTCACGTTAGCATCACCACATCATCATGGCAGATCTCCAACTCACACAGACTACAACCATCCATTTCAACACTGTCCTTTGGAGCATATGGACACCTTGCATTGCCATGTTGTTGCCAGGCCGCTCTGCACACAGTGATAGATACTCATCTCATGGAGTGGATCAGGGTGCATCTCTAAGAAATTAGCTCGCACTCTGAGGACACTTTCACTTTGCACCCACTTGGATGCTCATAGCGTCTCTGCCTTACCTTGTCTTGCTTTTTGTGATCAGATTTAGTGCATTGTCAAATCATTCAGAGTTTGCATGGTCACTGTATTTCTGTCTTCCCCAAAAACAGACACAAGACCAGGCAATTTGACGTGTTTACAAGCAAGGAACATTTAAAGGGGCAAGCATGTTGCTTTACAGTCAATGTCACACCTGCAGTATGGGCCAGCAGCTTAAAAGACAAACATGCTGAATGTGCTTGAACTAAATAACAATGCCTGAAAGTCTGAGGGACCTAGTCCTCAGTCAAGTTAGTCAGAGGGGCAAGACGCACGGTAAGTTAAAGGCATAGTCCAATATCAGGCCAGTGGCATGGCCATAGTTAGTTGAGTGCTTAGGGCAGCTAAGATTATTGATTCTTTTTAATTACAGCACAAGGAGTGGGCCACAGCCAGCCCTGCGAGTCCAGTGCAACCAGAGAGGGAACTAGTGGAAGTTAGTGAGCAACTTCACAGAGATCAGTTAAAGATCTGGTCACTTATCAGTCAAGGTTATCCTCCCTGGTCATTCAGGGAGGTAGCATTGGGCAAAGGTCAGTCCTGAACAATGGCTTGATGTTATAATACACAGGCCTGCGGGACAGAGCAACACTCTCTTAGACAGGATTCAAACGTGATGCGGCGCACGTGTAGTTTGATTGTTGTCGCTGCACTGACTCTAACAGTCAGTAATACAAGGTGGCAATACACATACAGATGTGACTTCCTATTTGCAAGTGAAGTGTCCCTGAGCCACCCATCTGCGCTCAGGAGCTTTTCTTTCTCATTTGCCTCCCCCCCGATGTGTACTGTGAAGAGCTTTTAGTGGCTGGCAGTGATTAACTTGATGCACAGCTGGCACCAGCAATGAAAATCCCAATAGGTCCTGCAATGGCGAGCACTGTGCAATTGATGAGTGCAGGGTAAAGTGAGAGCATGCCAGTGAGGCGTGATGCATACACAATGAGGTGAGGACCACAGCATCGCGTGAGATAACTCACTAGAATTCTCAGAAACTCTTTGTGAAACTTGTTGCAATTGACAATTAGCCAATTAGCCTACGTCTTTTGATGGCGTGACACTTCAAACAATCTATGCGCAACACTTTGACGTGGAATTTTTCACCATATTTCACTTCCGCACCCCATGTATTAGGTGCTGACTTCAATCAAGAATCTGTACAGAGGGATGAAGTAATTGCTATTGTAGCTGGTAATTTCCCAAAAGAGGGAGTGAAAATCAAATATAGGATTGTTATCAATCTGTTCCATGCATTCCTTGGGAACCAGCTAAGATGGAGATCCTTAAATCAAGTCATCAACCTAACATCCCTGCCAGTGGAAGTGTATGGCATGGCAATGCAAGGAGATTTGAAAAGAAGACAGAGGAATTTCATGAATTAAGTTCAAATGGTCTACTTCTATTTTCCTTGAAAGTTTTTAATGTATAATTTTCTTCCAATAATATTGTCTTCGTTGCAGTTGTTATTCAAATCTCTTATTATAGCTATGCTGTCATAACTGATATTACCATAAGTTGGCTTAGTGTTTTCCTGTATTCTTCTTCCAGACCTAACTTTACAAATTACATTTTAACCCATATGAAAATTTGAGATATTGGAAAGACTCATTATAGGCTTAACTTGCATATTTTAACTATTTTCTTGCCTCAAGTTGTTATATACGGGAATAAAATACTTCTTCCAATGTCACACTATGTTAAAACACTCATCAATCACATCCTAATTGGAGTATAGTTTAAACAAATGTTAAAAACACTTTTATACTTTTCTAGTGTTGTTGACTGAGCTCTTGCTAACATTAAAATCTGTTGCTTATATTCACTGAGGCTAGCAGCCAAAAAGACCCAGAGGGTGAAATTGGTCTGTGCTCACCTCTCTAAAAGTGAATCGGCTGCATGTAACATTTTCTTTTCCAATCAATGGTGTATGAAAGACTGTCTGAATACTGTAGAATGGCCAATGACATAATCATTTTTGAAAAGAGAGACAGAGCTAATGTGCATAATTATAATCCTGCTAGTTCAGCATCTGTGAAAGGGAACATTGTGGTCTCTGCATTTGAGGTTGAAATCATGTATGACCCATTTCAAAACTCTGAGGCATTTCATTATTCATATCAAGTTCTGTTCATCCTTCACCCCTGTCCCACAGTCTGGTACTTTTAAAAATCTAATCTTTATTCTCACTTCCCTCAATGGTTTTTACCATTCCTATCTTTGTAACCTTTAGTCCTATAACAAATGTTCTCTCTAAGTTGTGTGGCAACGTAGCAGTTTGGAAGTTCCATGCATGCCAGTTGGCATTCAGGCACGTAGTTTGTGCTTGTGGAAGCTACTGCCACATGTAGACCTTGGAGATCCACACAGTGGCAGGAAAATTTAGAGGGAACATTGCCGATAACAGCGAGAGTATTATGTGCAGTTTTGGGATCCACATTTTTGGAGGCACGTGATTGTACTGGACGGGGTACAGAAGAGACTCTCCAGGATGTTGCCAAGGTTGGAGAGTTTCAGTTATGAAGGAAGATTGAACAGTCCGGGATTGTTTTCCTTGGAGCAGAGGAGACTGAATGGTGAGATGTGCAAAATTAGGAAGGCACAGATAATGTAGACAGGAAAGAACCTTTTCCCTTGGTGCTGCAGTCAATGCTCAGGGAGCATAGATTTAAGGCAAGGGCATGAGATTTAGAGGGGGCGTATGAGAAAAACAAAATCACCAAGAGGATGGTGGAAATTTAGAACTCACTGCTTGTAAAGGTGGTAGAGGCAGAAACCCTCATAACATTTAAGAATGGACTTCCAATGACAAGGCTATTACAAGGCTATGGTCAAATGCAGGAAGATGGAATTAGAATAGTTAGGTGCTTGATTTTGATTCCAACAACTCAGTGAATCATGGGGACATTTTCTGTGCTATAGACCTCTATGGCTGTCGTGGCTACTAATTTTGTTTTGAATGGTCATTTGTAAAAGTGTTCCTATTACCAAAGGACCAAAGGCTGGGGTGTTAGAATACAGTTGTGTGCACCTTTCTGGATGACCCTGAGGGTGCTGGACCTGGATCTCCATGGCAGCTGCAAGGCAAACGGTCACATGGCTCAGTGCACTGCTTCAGCTTCTGGGCAATGTATGGCCATTGTATCCCACATACCTGTCTACAGTTTCCGTCCCTCTCTGCGCATGCGGACAAAGTTTCTGATTGCTGCCACCACTGAGTCCTCTCCTTCCTGGGGCTGAATAGGTGCCTGTTCTTTGTCAGTCTTTCGAGTGCCAGCATTTTGGGAAATTTCTGGCCTTGGACAGAAGCTGTCGCAGTGAGGTGCTCACAAAATTGTGTTACTATACTCTCTGAGTCTAATGTTCCCACAACGTAGTCAGTGCCTGACCTGGTGGGATTGCAGGAGGCAGCCTTGTCGATGTTTCCTCTGAGCCCTTGACAGTTTTTGCTTAGAGTTAGAGGTGGTGGCTTCTGGTGGAGCAGGCCGTTTCTGTGCCTTGGTGGCAGAGATGCTAGCTGTACCTACAAGGCAAAAGACAGAGAAGGCGATGCAGCCAATGGTTGGAAGTGGTGTGCAATGAATGACACTGACAGCAGAGTTACTGTGAGAGTTGCAGTGGAATAAGAATGATACTTCCTCAGTTCACAGGTTGTGGATGTCCCAGTATCCCCAGAGGAGCGGTCCCAAAATTCTCCGGCAAGGGCCAGGGTTCTCTCCTTGTGGGGACTGAAGGGTTGAATACTGGGCACCGCTCCACCCATCTGGGCCTTTCCTGCCATACTGGAGCCTGTCTTTCTTCGGGAGTGAGTGGAAGATAGGAATTGAGTGCCATGAAAATGCACATTGGTGCGGTTATTGGTGATCAAAAAATGGTAAGTTGTCCCCGGCAGGTGAGAGGCCAGAATAGAAGCCACAAGGGTTAGTGGTGTGGGATGTTGCCAGTGGTGAGAGCGAGTGAGGAAATTTGTCACAGGCAGAGCATGAGCCTTGGTGCAATAGCAGAGAGAGAGTGAGTGTGAGATAGTAGACAGAAGAGTGTGCCAACTTACCCTGGCGAAGTGAAGAAGATGGGTGACTTTCTTGTGGCACTGCTGGCTGTTTCGCCACACAATTGAGATGGCTGTACCCCCAGTGGTAGCCATGGTAACCTGCCATGATCTGATGCTGTGGCCTTTTCTGTCAATCCTCCGGGAAGAGGAGTTCCCTTCTTTGCGCCATCCTATCAACCAGTATCTCCAGGTCCCCATTTGAGAATTGTGCTGCCATCTCCCACTTCTCCGACATGTTCCGATTCCATCATTGACTGAGCTTCAGAATGCCAGAGCCCATATGGGGGGTGCACAGTGGCTTTCTAAAATAAATGGAAACTCAGCCCATATTTGATTTTCGGCCTTTCATTTCTTTTTAGTCATCCTTTGCTGGTCGCTAAGATTGTCCCAATCTTTTTCTCAGTGTTGTCTGCCTTTTCTTTCAATTTGATGCCATCCTTAATTTCCTTACTTAACCACAAATGGTGCATCCTGTCATAGAGTCTTTCTTTCTCAACGGAACATATCTTTATTGAGAGTTTTGAAATCTCCTTAAGCATTTGCCACTGTTTCTCCAATGTATTATCTTTCAACTTATTTCTCAGTCCACTACGGCTAACCCTGTCTTCCTCCTTTGTAATTGTCTTTATTTATTGAACTTGTCTCAGATCTAAGACTCCCACCCTCAAACTAAGTGTGAAATTGTCAGATGTTATAAACACTCTTGCATGAGGAATCATTTACTTTGGGATCATTATTTAATCCTGCCTCATTGCAAATCGCACACCTAACATACGCTGCACCCTAGTTACTTCACTGCCATTTCCCACGCCAAATGAGGTTACCTTGAAAGACTCTCCTTCTCAACCTCTCCGCTCACCTGAGGCATGGTGACACTCAGGTTAAACCACCATGAGGTGCATCTCTCTGATGATAGAACAGCCTATGGTCTGGTAAGACTATGGCAACATTACCTTGTATTGCCATATTCCAGGAATGACTCTCACATGGACACAGCAGAAAGGACAAAGAATTCAGCTGGTGGAAGCAGGATCTTGGTCAGTGGGAGATCACCATCAGGAGCCTAAGAGATTGTTCTTTAGTGTTAACATAGCTCATGGTAGGAAGTAGAGTTGGAGGGAGTGCTGAGGCGGGGGTGAAAACAGGGAGACAGAGTTTTGGTACAAGGCATGCTTATGATTTCCTGCAGGGCATCTGGAGAAGGTGACCTACATCCTACAAGGATTCCATTAAAGTTTTAAGTAAAGTTTAATAACTGTGTTTCTTCTGGTTTTCAACCCTGGCACAACAGCTTTTGCCAGCGAATGATTTAACCTGATCCATACTTTTGAATATTCACAAAGACCAAACTGCTTACAGCAAGCGCCTAACTTATTTCCTGAATTTCAGGAATTAAGATAGCATTCAATGGGAATGCAACACAAATGACATGTAAGTACAGTCCTTAGATTAACCTCCATACTCGCATTATTTTTTCTCTTCTGGTGCTTAGGACTAAACTGGCAGAGTGGAACAAAAGAAATAACTTACCTGTCGGATAACTGACCAGAAATAAAGGAACCAGCCAGCACTCCCACAAAGAACACTGACATAGAAAATGGCCCTTTCCAGTCATTGTCGCACACCAAATCCCACTGAAACATAAAAGCAAAATGAAAACTTCAAAGAAAATTGCAGTCATCATTTTACAGTTTAAGATCTAAAAATAGAAAGAAATAGGATATAAGCGAACTGTATTTAACAAATCAAACATACTTTAATGCCAGGCTAGCCTCAAAGTCAGAAGTGGCACATCACCAGGTTATAGTCCAACAGGTTGATTTGAATTCACAAGCTTTCAGAGCGCTGCTCCTTTGTAAGGTGAAATGATTTCACCTGATGAAGGGGCAACACTCTGAAAGCTTGTGATTTTAAGTAAGCTTGTTGGACTATAACCTGTGTTGTGTGACTTCTGACTTTGTCCACCCCAGTCCAACACCGGTAGCTCCACATCAAGTCCAGCCTCAAGATAGCTCTTATATCTCTAAGCAATCATGTTGTGGGTCCAATTCCCACTCAAGAGTTTTGAAAAAATACTTTCAGTTAAGACTGAGTTCAGTTTTATGAGAGTGCAGTATTTTGGATGAGATGTTAAATTATAATCCCCATTTGCCTTCCTGGTAGCAAATAAAACATTTGAGGCAAATGTTCGAAAATGAAAATGAAAAGGCTACCTTTTCAGCCTAAATTTATTCAACGGTCAATATTACTGAAGTAGATTACCTAGTGGCTCATACGTTTCTTGTTTATGTGATGTTACAGTTACATTCATCTATATTAAAGCAGTGATTACCTTTCAAAAGTACTTCATCACCAGCGAAGTGTTTTGGAACAAACCAAGGTCCATGAAAGGATGTGTAAATGATAGCTCCATCTATCTCCAACAGCTAATACACAATACATGTCAAATTACACAAGGTATAGATTCTTCTAAAATGTTTTGTTTGTGAAGGAAATTAACGTGAATGTTGAATTTATAAGGCAGAACTGAGAAATATTTTCAAACTGTCAGAAAGCAATGATATAAAACTCAAGAATGTCAACCTTGATCAATTTATTTCACATGTCAAAATAATTATGAATCTTGCAAGATTAAGAGAATCATTTTACAAAGGTCAGCTGTGCTTTATCATACTAATCATCAGATCTATTCTTGAAAAGATTGTCATATGCAATTTGTCGTTTGTTGATGATTTTCCTCAATGGTTTTCTTAGTTGGATTCAGGGCTATTAGCTGATACCAATTTAGGCTCTATAGCTGCAGACTCAATCTGCTATTTTGCTGAGTTGGCTATCTGCCAAATGTTAAACTGGACAAATAAGTCAATAGAAAGGAGATGTCACAGCTAAACTTCATCCTACTCTTGTGAAAATCCACATATATGCTTTCTGGATCTAATTACTGCCTAACAAACAGATGTAGAAAGCTTCAGAGATAGCAGGAACTGCAGATGCTGGAGAATCTGAGATAACAAGGTGCAGAGCTGGATGAACACAGCAGGCCAAGCAGCATCAGAGGAGCAGGAAAGCTGACGTTTCGGGCCTAGACACTTCTTCAGAAATGGGGGAGGGGAAGGGGGTTCTGAAATAAATAGGGAGAGAGGGGGAGGCGGATAGAAGATGGAGAGAGGAGAAGATAGGTGGAGAGGAAACAGACAGGTCAAAGAGGCGGGGATGGAGCCAGCAGAGGTGAGTGTAGGTGGGGAGTTAGGGAGGGGATAGGTCAGTCCAGGGAGGACAGACAGGTCAAGGGGGCGGGATGGGGTTAGTAGGTCGGAGATGGGGGTGGGGCTTGGGGTGGGAGGAGGGGATAGGTGGGAGGAAGGACAGGTTAGGGAGGCGGGGATGAGCTGGGCTGGTTTTGGGGGTAGGGGGAGGGGAGATTTTGAAGCTTGTGAAGTCCACATTGATACCATTGGGCTGCAGGGTTCCCAAGCGGAATATGAGTTGCTGTTCCTGTAACCTTCGGGTAGCATCGTTGTGGCACTGCAGGAGGCCCAGGATGGACATGTCGTCTGAGGAATGGGAGGGGCAGTTGAAATGGTTCGCGACTGGGAGGTGCAGTTGTTGAGTGCGAACCGAGCGTAGGCGTTCTGCAAAGCGGTCCCCAAGCCGCCGCTTGGTTTCCCCAATGTAGAGGAGGCCACAACAGGAACAGCGGATGCAGTATACCACATTAGCAGATGTGCAGGTGAACATCTGCTTGATGTGGAAAGTCTTCTTGGGGCCTGGGATGGGGGTGAGGGGGGAGATGTAGGGGCAGGTGTAGCACTTCCTGCGGTTGCAGGGAAAAGTGCCGGGTGTTGTGGGGCTGGAGGGGAGTGTGGAGTGGACAAGGGAGTCCCAGAGAGAGTGGTCCCTCCGGAAAGCAGATAAGTGTGGGGAGGGAAAAATGTCTTTGGTGGTGGGGTCGGATTGCAGATGGCGGAAGTGTCGGAGGATGATGTGTTGGATCCGGAGGTTGGTGGGGTGGTACGTGAGGACGAGGGGGATT